CATTCGGTACGCCAGTTCAGAACTCGGTGCTGCATTGCAGGTCACGGCCTACCGCACGGAAGGAGGCGAGGCAGTCGTTCAAGTCCACCTCCTGAACGCGCTGCAGCCCGGGTCAGTTGACAGGGCAAAGGGGCCAAAAATGCGCTCATTTGAGACGCAGAATTCCTCCGGGGCGCCCATTTCCCTTGTTACCTGACCAGGGCTGACCAGGGATGCAGCGCGTTGAGGAGGTGGACCTGGCCGCCTGCCTTGCGGGAGACCAAGACCCGTAAAGCAGCACCGAGTTCTGAACGATGCACCGATGGGTTGAGCCGACGGCCGAGTGGCGAGCGTGCTGGGGCGTGGGCTCATTGGTCCCGGGATCGATTCCCCCCGCCGGCGCAAACTTTTCCTTCACCTCGCTACACGGCGCGAATCGTCGCAAACTGTCGGTCCCAAGATCGACTCCGGCCGGGGCAACATTTGTTTTAGTTTGTCACTTCTTGTCTCCCGTAAAACAAGGCCGAGCTCAGACCTCCCGCAAGGAAGGGCGAGCTGACGGTCGAGCGTGCTAACGCGTATCCAGTGGCTCAGCGCTCGGACGGTCGCTGGTTCGAAAACCGGCCGTGTATCATTTTCGCCTCTTTTCTGGCCTTGGCTTTGTGGTCGTCAAAGAGAGCGTAGATTGGGTCGACTATTGGAGCAAGGACCAGTATCGTGGCGTCGTAGCTGAGTTGGTAAAGCGCCAGTTCGGAGAACCATTGGTCAGAGGTTCGAGGCCCGCCCGGAGTTCGCTTTTCGCTTTCCGTTTGCAACTGTTGAACGGCCGGGCGAAGGCAGCTCAAATATAATCCAGACGCCGTTGTCTCTCGCCGCTCCTGTGGTGTATTGGTTACCGTCACTGTAGTTGGCCCCGTCCCCCCGGGGGTCGGCGGTTCGGATCCCCGGACCGCCGGCCCTCTCCCCTCCCCTCCCTCCCCCCGGGTCCAACTAGAGTGGCGGTAACCGATAACGACAGGAGCTCATTTTGCCATCTTAACAAAGGCTGGCCTAACCTAACCCAATCTAGACATTAAAAGGGGCAAAATGAGCTCCTGTTGTTATCGGTTACCGCCACTCTAGTTGGACCCGGGGGGAGGGAGGGGAGGGGAGAGGGCCGGTGGTCCGAGGATTCGAACCACCGACCCCCGGGGGGACGGGGCCAACTACAGTGACGGTAACCAATACACCACAGGAGCGGCGAGAGTCAACGGCGTCTGGATTATATTTGAGCTGCCTTCGCCCGGCCGTTCAACAGTTGCAAACGGAAAGCGAAAAGCGAACTCCGGGCGGGCCTCGAACCTCTGACCAATGGTTCTCCGAACTGGCGCTTTACCAACTCAGCTACGACGCCACGATACTGGTCCTTGCTCCAATAGTCGACCCAATCTACGCTCTCTTTGACGACCACAAAGCCAAGGCCAGAAAAGAGGCGAAAATGATACACGGCCGGTTTTCGAACCAGGGACCGTCCGAGCGCTGAGCCACTGGATACGCGTTAGCACGCTCGACCGTCAGCTCGCCCTTCCTTGCGGGAGGTCTGAGCTCGGCCTTGTTTTACGGGAGACAAGAAGTGACAA